CAGAGCATTTCAGTATTTCCTATAGTATTTTTTCTTCTGGAGAAAGTCTTATTTCTTTTATTTTGGCTAGAATAAAAGCAGTTTTTAATTTTATTAAAAACCATTTTGAGGTCAATATTATTAGCCCCTTAGGCAATAGTTTTTCAGATCGTCTACAGAACCAACTATCATTCCACATTGACTTGCCTAATCACCCTAACCTGCCTAATTAACCTAGTTAAGCCTTTAAATGTCACTTTAAGTCGAACACTAGTTGCTTGAAAAATATCTAGTCAAATATTATGTACTGTCATCATGGCAAAGAGAAAATACATCAGTTATTAGAAATGAGCTAATAAAAATGTCTTTTACTTTGAAGTGGCATGTCCTCGTGAGGATCAGTGAGGTCAGGAGGTTGACGATGGTATCAGAGAACAGGATTTAATAAATGAAGATCTGCGACCGTGACTGTACTGTTCCTAAGCTTCAAAAATACCAGCTCAGCAACATCTTATTCAAATGTTTGAGCATCAGTGCTTCACAGAGGAGTGTGTGAAGCTGACCTGACTAAGGAACTGCAAAGAAACCTTTGTTACACAGACAGTCCCGCCTGGGCATGAGAACACAGGAGCTGGAGGAGTGGAACTCTGTTTTCTGGACCGATGAATCCTCTTTTGAGGACAGATCTCTCTGGGGTTGGTTATTTTTTGCAATGATTTTAAAGAAATCTCTTAAGGAGCTTTTCTACTGCATGGTACAGCAAGGTTTGGTTTGGTATAGCTCGCTTTTGTGAGCTTTTCCATTGTGTTTTTTTCTCAAGTAGCTCATGACCGGTTACTCGCTGAAGTCACCAGTCTGAGTCCTAATGCCCCACTATAGTGAAGGAGACACCATCCGCTTGTTAAGTATGATGTCATGTGAAGCGGCTTCTGGGTCCAATCGCTGTATCAAACTGTATGGGGAGACTCATCAAATGGTAGTGATAAACATTTACAAAGTGCTCACAAAAATCACAATCGATATGTTTATATATGTCCATGCCTATTATCCAATGGCCAGAAAGTGATTAACTTTTTGATATTTGCAATGCAGCAAGCCCAGATACTGTTGTGTACATGTTGCGTGTGGCGTTCACTCCTGCCCTTAATAATTACTTCCAATTGATCATGTTTTTTGCCCTTTTCAGTTTTCTATTGGTTGATCTGGTGGCGTCAGGCCTTTAAAACAAACGGAAGCGGACTTCTACCGCCCCCTCATTCCTCCACGCTACCACAGTTGTTGATGGCTTTATTGTTGTGTTCTCCTTTGTGCTTTCCTTTTGATATTTGTTTGGAGTGGGGAGCTCCAACCTGCTTTAGGGTTGTTTGGTTGTTCTTTATTATGTTGTTGGGCTCCCCATCTCTTGTCAATTTGGATTGTTTTGCTGGTTATGTTATGTTAATAAATAATTTAGCTGGAGCACTTTGATCGTCGTTTATTTATGTTACGTTGTCTTTTGGTCACGAGTCATATTTAAGTTAGGGACTGTAACATAATTTTGGGCTCGTCCGCTTCTCTTTATAGGTTGTTTCACTTTGTTCTCCTTTTGATACCAAACTTGTTTGACTTTACTGAACGATAGATCGTTAGACTAAAATGTTTGGTTCTCATGGGGAATTCCTCATGACGTAGTTTCGCGTCATAGGGAATCCCGTGTAGCGTGTCACACCGTGATTGCATATAAAGTTCAACTTAATGTGAGATATGACTAAAAAGTGATCATAAACTAATATTTTTTCAATTCAAATGAGTTGCGGCTTGGATCTGGAAACTGTATTTTATGCGTCACGACACTGGTGGTGGTGTGGAGAGACCCCCCTCATGTTTGTGAAGCACTTTGGGTGTATGGCCATACACAATAAATGCGCTATATAAATACACATTACATTACATTACAAGTATCTGGTACCTGGTTAGGTTCCAAGAGGTAGTGAAGAAAAACGTTTTTGGATGTAAACTAATTTTTTTCTTGTTTAGGGTTTTTTTTAAACAAGAACTGTGTTTTGGGGGCCTAAAAACTACACCATCACGTCTCCATTTAAATGGCAAAAATGGGATTTTGGGAAAGCTGTGGCTTATACATCATGTATATATTGCATAGACGTGTAGTGTTTCTTTAAAAACGTGACATTGCCATCTACATGTAAACATAGATGCAACATAGCACTGCAAAATGTAAACTTATAAATAATAAACTATAACTTATAAAAATAAATCCCTGTGTCTAGGGAAAACAGATGAAAACTAGCCTTTTGGCTAATTCTGGTGCATTTGCATATATATATTTGTTGTTTGTGCAATTTATTTATAAATTTTTATTTATTTGTTTATTTGGCCATGAGAGCAATTAATTAGCATTTCTGCATGGCATATATATATATATATATATATATATATATATATATATATATATATTGTTTTTTCTTTTTTTAAATATTTCCCAAATTGTTTACTTCCTTTTCTTTAAAAAGCAGTGATCTCCACTGCCTGATTGATATACAATAGAAGTGTAATATAAATATTTAAAGCCATGTATTTAAAATATGAACATTTACTCCAGTATTTTCAATGGCGTTTCTGCTGAAACGTATTTTCAATGGCGCCTGCTGACCCTGACGGGTAGATGTGTGTAATTGGCTTTTCATCTCGTTTTACCCTTTTGAACACTTAAATTAAGGCTGAAGTCTATTCCACTGATTGTATTTTAATTACATTACTACATTGATGCTGTAAAAAGAAGCGTATAAAATTGAAAATAGTCACATTAACCAATCACCGGAAGTTTATCAGTAGAGGAAGAAACAATAGCTGTGCACATACCCTATTGACGTAACTTGCCTAACAAACCTAGAAAAGCCTTTAAATGTCACTTTAAGCTGTATAGAAGCGTAAAGATAAAAAAGATTTTAAAAAAATTTGTAATTAGAAATGAGTAAGTAAATCTATTATGTTTAGAAATGTGTTGAACAGTAATTTGGGGGGGGGGTATAAAGAGAGGCTAATAATTCACGAGGGCTAATTCTGACTGCAATTTTATCTCAAAAGTTTTGTCAAAATGATTTTTCTATTTCTCACAAACAAAAAAATTATGTATTATCCTACAATTCTGGATAGATTAGTCTAAATACAAATCTAAGTAAAGAGTTTACGAGTCGAACATGTGGAAATGTTCAATAAATGAGCAGTTTTGTAGCATTTACTGCATGTTTTTCACTTGTGATTAATTGAATACATCCTTGCTGAATAAAATAAACAATAAAATCCTCAATTCAACGACGTACGTGCATGTTTAATCATGATAATCTGAAAAAAGTACGCTTATTACATTACATATTGCTATAAATATGACTGAATATCTTCAGAAATGCCTGGTTTATGGCGGTTTTCAGCTTGTCTACTTCTGTTTTCATATAATTTCTAAACTCTTCTTTGAATTGGCTGAATCTTAAATGGCCTCATGGCCTCCTAACCCTCCCCAAATCATAATTGGCATATCATCACTCTGTCTCCTCTTCACCTATCTGCTAGTGTGTGGTGTGCGCTCTGGCGCAAAAATGGCTGCAGTCACATCATCCAGGTGGATGCTGCACACTGGTGGTGGATAAGGGGATTCCCTCCCATTGTGTAAAAGCGATTTGAGTGCCCTGAAAAAGGCTATAGAAATATAAGGAATAATTAATATTATTATTATTAAATTAGTCTTCTGTTTGGAGATGTCTCTGCTGAGAGCTCCTACTGCTTGCAAAGTTTCGGAGCCATGCTCCTTCTCAGGTAATGGTTTGTCATTGTCATCCGATGTTTTGTTCTCCTAGCTTATTTTTGGTTTTACAAACCTCTTTTTAGGTTTTGCTCATTTTAAAATCGTCTGCCGGAAAGCTCACATGAATTGGCAGGAGTATAAGCAGTGGCGTAGTGGATGGGCTCGCAGGGCACGCACCGCGGGGGGGCCCCGCGTGATTAGGGGGCCCCACGTCGTCGCGATTTATTAATAATTGAAATTCCAGGAACTGCAATAATCAAACTTTTGGGAACAACTGTGGTCGGAACCAAAGTTCACAGGTCTGTGTTCTCTGAACTCCTCTCAAGCGGTGGACTACTTCATTCTGATTGCTTGCCGCCGAACCGCGTCATAGCTAATGAAGACGCGCCGCTGTTTCTCGCCGCCGGTTCTCGTTAAAAAATGAATGACTTTTGGCTACTTTGATGCTCTCGCCGCTTTCGGTTTGTGATCGCTCCTCAGTTTGTGAAGGATTCCCCGCGTTGTCGCTCCACCCCGCCTTCTTTCCCCGCTCCTCACTTTGTGACATAGATATATACACTTGATATCGCATAGGGAGCCTGAGCATGCGTCAATAGCGCCGCCACATTGGTACAGTGCTCCCAGGACAAATGTCATTCAACCGCACTAGTCAAGACAGTGTTATTACGTGAAGATGCGGGACTTTAGCGCTGTCTACGAGTGTAGTAATGAGCAAACAAAGAAAACAAAGCACAAAGGCAGAACATTTCATAGGTAATATTAAGTTTTTTACGTTTTTGTATGTTCTAAAATTTGTGCTAAACAGTAGTGTTATTGATGATAATACAGCCACTTACTGCATTCATCATAAGGCAAAGTAGATCCAATTTGCACTAAACACTCGGCTTATGCTAGTTTTGTTGAATAAAATCAGCAAACAATGCAAAAGAAATATGAAAATGAGACGCTGCAGTGCCAGAAACTTGTATTATTGTCGACTCAGTGAAGGAGTCATTCATAACGGAGATTACCCCCCCCTCAACCCCCCCCCCCCAAGCACATCTTGGTCAGCACATGAACTGTGAGAGACTTAAGCTTTGTTTTGTGTGTGTTTGTGTGTGTGTGTGCTGTATGTGTTGCATTTGTAAAGCTTGTCCATCATCAGCATGGCTCCCATGCAATGTTTTGATCTCACATTTAGACGGAGCTTCCTTCTTTTTTTGTCTGGCCGTTTGTTTTGCAG